AGGCAATTGTTAAGGTATACTGATTTACAGTATAAGTCAATGAATCAGCCCTTTCAGACTCAACAATATTTATTTCGTACTAAGAACGTGTTTTACATGAGTTTGTTATGTGAACAGCGACAGAAGTGACAGAAAAACTATAAGCGAGCTGAAACAATGCAATAGTAAACTACAACAGAAGTGGAAGAAATGCAAAACGCGCATAAGTTTATAATTGTCGTGACTAATTCATTATTATAACATAGCCCGCGTGCTTTGCCCATATAAGTCCTATTGAGCCGCTTTATCAACTAATTCGTTATTTACGCACGCCCGTGCGTAAATAAGATGACGTGAGCTTTTTGTTTTTTTTACCTTGCTGCAGAGTTGCCGTCCTGTTAAACTGCAGTGCAGTTTTCTTTCTCTTTAAAATGAGTCTTCTGCTGCAGCCACTGTTCGTCAAAATAACAGTGTGGTGGTTGCCCAGGAAAAAAAAATGCAAGTTTCCTGCAGTCTGTCTTCTCCGATTGCACCGTGCACGGCAGCGTGAACATTATTTTGAACAATCAAAACCCTTGATAACTTCGGCCCCAGGCCTTTGACTTGAGAAACATTTTATAGTGACACTTGAGTTCATTTATCTTTGACTTTCTCCATTTTCCCCGTTAATTTTGAGGCCTTTCACTCACAGTTATGGGTTAACTGGATCAAATGTTTGGCTCAAACCAAAGTAGAAAATATGGCGTGTTTTTGACCAGACAATAGGGAAGTTTGTTTACATTTTTTGTGCTGTAACCGCCGTTGATACTATCTCGAAACTCATTCAGGTTGGCCTACGTACAACCTTGTGGCCCGAACAGTAAAAACATGCGTGTCTTGTCTGAGCCAAGATTGGAAACGAAAACTTAAACTAAATGCCGCTGCAATCTCATGCGCCAGCATTAACATGCGCGTTGTGAGAATTTTGTACTCTATCGCAATAAAAAGGCTTCTTCGCGAAAAATTTTACCTGCTTTGAAGGTAATTGTAATTAATGAAGACAAAAAACACCATGATTGCAAATTAAAGGTAAATAGTGAAACAAAAATAATTTAATTCGTGACAATTAACTTCTGCCTTTTGTCTGCGTTAATTTTATCAACTGAGTGTTTCTAATCAATTTTGTCGGTGTTTACGCATACGAATAATGATATTCAAGTCCATCATTTCTAACCTGTTGCATGCCAAATGGGGCTGTTCTTTGTTCCAAGTGACACGTGTTCAGTTGTACATCGAAGCTGGGTTCCTGTAACTGCAAAAATAGTTCGTCTCATTCCAAGGGAGCAATGTGTAATGAATCCGTCGCGGACACTGCGGTCTTCTTTAGCAAAGTAACTATCACCCACAGCTTTGGATTTGTTTGAGGAAAAAACCTTTGCCTTTCAAATTGAGTCAGTGTCCTAGTACATTTAATTCTTAGGAGCGTATATTCTCGTTTTCCGTAGGTTTCTCTTGACAATTGCCGCAAGAGAACCACTCGCGATTTCCAAGACGTGAGCACTGAGCGGGTCACCTTTCTTCTTGAAACTAATTTTCCTGTCTTTCTCTCTCTTTCTCCCCACTTGCTATTGCTACGTCATAGTTTCGTCATAACAAAGAAGGCGGATTTTAATTTGAAAATGCTGATTTTTGGAACGTAATTGTTCGCTACTAAGACACTTTTAGCTCAAATGAATAGCCAGTTAGGACAATGCAAGCAAGGAACTTTTGATGTAAGTAAACTTTTTCTAGATGGTACTTTCCCTTTAAAGAGCACTTCAGGGGGCATAATTTCTACTCTAAATTTAACTCATAGTTTTAACAATAATCGACACCAGAGCTCCAACAAATATCTAACTCTGAGACTCAGTTACCAATTCTACACGATTAAAGTGCGTAACCGGGAACTAATAATATCTTCCGGCTTTAGAAATTATCATGTCATCCTTTAAAGATAATCCGTAAGTCCATCTGAAACTAAGTCGGGATTAGCTTAGTGTAATATATTTCTTTGTTTAATTGTTTCATAGAAGTATTTTGATAGCCTCCAATACTACAAACAAGACTTAAAAGGAAGCAGTATCGTTCCACTGGCAAATAAACTCAGCGATAGATTCAATACAAGTGTCGTGGGGGTTTTACTACTCGCTTGGCGAATTAACGAAAGGTACTGAGACTCTGTAATTTTCTTCTTTATTCTCCTATACTGCTGCTTCTACTACAGCTAATTTTCTCTCTCTTGTTCCACTGCTTATTTTCTACTACTTTCAGCAAGGAGTGCTCCAGTATTAAATACAAAAATCACAGACATGTTTGGGTTAGCTAACCGTGGGAATTTCCAAAACAGGATGTTCAGTGTGGGTAAGACTCAAGGTCAGTTTTACCAACTCAAACATGACCACCTAGCAAACTAGTTATCCTCAACCATAACAAGAGATTAAAATGTCTAGCACGGTAAGTGCTGAGCCAAGTTCAAGCACACACTAAAAATAAATGATCAAAACTATAGATTCATCAAAATAGCACGTAGGGGCGAAAAGGCGAGACTTAATAAAACAAAAGGCAAACCTAAAAATACTTGAAATATCAATCCTTGAAAACGCTCTACAACACAACTGCTGCTTCTACTACAGCTAATTTTCTCTCTCTTGTTCCACTGCTTATTTTCTACTACTTTCAGCAAGGAGTGCTCCAGTATTAAATACAAAAATCACAGACATGTTTGGGTTAGCTAACCGTGGGAATTTCCAAAACAGGATGTTCAGTGTGGGTAAGACTCAAGGTCAGTTTTACCAACTCAAACATGACCACCTAGTAAACTAGTTATCCTCAACCATAACAAGAGATTAAAATGTCCAGCACGGTAAGTGCTGAGCCAAGTTCAAGCACACACTAAAAATAAATGATCAAAACTATAGATTCATCAAAATAGCACATAGGGGCGAAAAGGCGAGACTTAATAAAACAAAAGGCAAACCTAAAAATACTTGAAATATCAATCCTTGAAAACGCTCTACAGCACAAGATTTAGGATAGCAGAGCGGCTTAAAAATGCTGTCGAAGCTGCATACGGCAGGTCCGAGGAACCGTTTCCAGAGTGCTGTAAATTCCAAAAATCTACACTTAAGTATGATGTGAGGTTTCGTTCCAAAGTAAATATTAGCAGCATGTGTCTGAAGATTGCCGGAACTGCTCCAAGAAGTCCAGTCCATTTAGACAAGACGATTTTGAAGGAAATGAAAGCCATCTCAGATCAGTATCCATCAGTCAAGTGGCAATATTTTCGATCAGAGGAGGGTGTCATGACAAACTGTCCAGCATATGAGGACCCAGTAAAATGTGATGGTTATGACCCACGTTTCCGCCCGTTTTACGTAGAAACTGCTACACCTGAAGCTAAGGACGTGGTGCTTGTGATTGATTCAAGTTTTTTCTATGATTGGAGACAAACTGAATACAGCCAGGGAAGCTGCGAAAACCGTGCTGGATACATTGAACCCTAAAGACCAGGTTTTTAAGCTAGTTGTTACTATATTGAAGTTTTTATCTACACATCAAGTGTACAGAAAACTCACTTTAAAAGACCAGTGCTTTTCAACAAAGTTCTAGGAAGGTTAGGTTTAGGGTTAGGCTTCTCCTGAGTGAGAGTTTTTTTTTTTTTTTAATTTTTCCTCCTACCGTAAGCAGGTAATCCTCTCCAGGGTAGCATAACACTGATGGAGACAATTGTAACTAAACATTCCCGCTTTTGCCTACACATATTAATATCAAATCCAATCTCGAAATGTCAATAGGCCGATCCAGCCCCTAATAAAAAAAAGGCTTCATTGTACCCAGCAGGAACAGCGATTGTACAAATTCAAACAATTACTCAGATTACTGCGAGCAATTATCGAAAAAGGCTGTCAAGACGATGATGGAAACTTAGTCGGTTATGACGTCACTCTATAGCAACCAGCCTTTTCGAATATTTGAACTTCCGTTTACCTGTGGCTCGTGACGTGACTTCGAATAGAAACGACGGTCGTTTCTATTCGAAGTCACGTGACAATATGGCGTCGTTCGAATGGTTAGACATGATCTGACCTGTTTTCAAAGGTTCGCAATGTAGTTCTTTCGACTGAAATCGTTTTTTCTGAGTTCGTCGGAAGGACCCTCATTCATCCACTCCTCCCAGCGCCAACTCATGCTTACGGGCAGCCTGTTTATTTGGACATCAGGACCTTGAAACCAGAGAAAGAGTTCGAGGAAGTCTTTGAATCAATTCAAAAGTAAATTTAATTGTTTCAATCATTCGTATCCACCGTTTATTCCATAGCAAAGCTCTCAACATCGAAATAAGTCTCGTAGTCTCTTTGTGACCAATTTCAAGACGAAGTTTATAATTCCTAAAACACGGTTTAGACGTAGATTTTTCCAGTTAAAGGTGCTTTCCCAAAACGGCTTCAAGTCATGGAGATTTTCTCTACTCTGTTTCTTCCTCACCAATAGAGCACTTTCATAAATGGCTGCCGGATTAATATTCTTTTGTTGAAATTTGAATTTGCCCGAGTGGCCTCGCTTGAGATAATGTATTCTTTTGAATCTTGTACTGGAGAACGAGGCCAGCCAGGCAAATTTATATGTAGACAAAATAATTTTAATCCGGCAGCCATTTATAAAAGTGGTCTATTGAAGAAGGTTCGACTGAGAATAAGAAAATATAGTTAATCTGATGAGACTCTGATGTTATTTAGTTTGACGCGCACTATCTGCTCTTTCAGGAGAATTGCAGGTTACAAAACATTTGTCGCAAAGCGATTTTTGCCACGAGGTGGAACAGAGAAGGAAGGAGTGACAATGCAGGAAGTTAATGCTGCATATTTCTGGACGCCAAACGAGGACATCGACTTCTCCTTTGGCGTCGTTGTGCCAGTGTCCCATTCAAAGGATGAGTTAATTTCGCCATCAATTTCAAATGGTGAGTTTTTCTACACCTAACCTTCGGTTTGCAATTAAGGTCCTGTGTTTCTCTTTTTAATTTCCTCCCTGCCTGAGGAGGATTTTCAAATTAGCCTCAGCCCAGATTTTGATGAGCTACGAATGAACTCGGTATTTCTAACACTCATTCTCTGCATGGAAGGTAACTTGAAGGCAAGCTGGCAAACATTAAGAGAGGTTATGAAGGATATCGATGTCTTATATTTACCTACTTCTTGATAGGAAAAATATAAATAGAATATAGTAGTGGATATCTCCGAAGATGTTCTTTGTGTTCCACGTCTTTGGGTCGATTTAGAATTTCAGATGGTAAGACTGACTCTGGGTTTCACCGCACATTCTTCCAGTAACCTTATCTGCAAGTAACATCATGATGACGAGTATATTAATTGACTAAAACTTGCTGCTACTTCTATAGGATACAAATTTGACTACCACCGAGTCGACCTATATAATCCTGGAAAACTATGTTCTCATTTTGGAACAACTGCGGCAAAAGGTAAACTAGGCCATTCTCATCTGATTACGACTAATCTTGACCATTTCTGATTTGTTTTCTCGGAAACCAACGATAGTTTAAATGATGTATCCACGTTTTTTTCGAAAAAACCCAAAGGCTGTTCAAGTCAGGATAACCATTCTCAGTTACCTTGACCGTATAGAAGGCGGTATTATCAACTCGTAGCTACATAATTCTAAATGTACGACAAAAAAACTGCTCGTACTTAATGTTCCCAACTTAGAACATTATGCACTTTGTTTTTGATAGAAATAACAAAGGTCAAGTTTGCTCCAGGGGCGTTCCAGGACCCATACAACTACATTGGCATGGATGAAAGAAAAGCTGATGTTGAGTTATTAAATGCTTACATGAAAGATGACACGGGAAAAGTGACCAACCCTGGCCTGAAAAATGGTATCAGGGGCACAGTGAGAGCAACATCGAAAGTGGAAGACCTGTGACTGCGTGAAAAAACTGACGTCACGCAGTATTTGGTTTGGCGCTACTTTGGGACATCAAATGGAATCTTCAGGTCCACTCCAGGCGCCGCTGAAAACAAACTTTACGACCCAAGAAAGAGGGCCTGGTTAGTAAGACAATGTTTCCTGTTAATAGAAGGAGTCTAAACCTCTTTTTTTTTTCAAACACTCGTTGAATCGTAAGAAAATCGATGGACTGATTTATCATCTCTTTAGGTATCTTACCGCCTTGGCTAACACTGGATTAATTGCTCTTACAACTCCGTACTTGGATATGGGAGGAGCTGGAGTAGTG